GTCTTCGAAAAAACACCTCTAAGTCGTGGCTTTTTTCGAAATAAATAGCTTAGGTGCATTTGATAGACATCACTAATATATCAAAAACGCACAATGCACTAGCTACAGTCAAGCTCCTTAATCACCCATCAGCCATGGATAAATCACGTAGTCATATTTTAGGCATTGAAAATGATGCGAGACCCTTGTCAGGCACTGAGGCATACTGCGACTACTCAAGATGTCTCTCTCTATCTAGCAGAAATAAAACGACAGAGAACAGTGCTTTGGCTGCATTGTTTCTTCGACAACTATAGTGACTGTGGTACTCTCGAACAGGCGATAATGGGAATTTTGAGCCAGTCGAGTAACCAGGTTTGTTTGCCACGCACCTACGAGGTAACGCACGTATACCACTTACTCGGTCTCATGCTTTTGGCAACTTATATTGGCATAAGGACAGATTTTATGTGAAAAGTTTATAATCTAACATAACTCTAAAAGTTTTCTGAAAACCATGTTTTCTCAGGGATCTAAAAATATTTCTGATTGTTCTCATAATAGGTTATTTGTATTGTGTAAGTATCATTACCTGCATATGGTTTCTTTCGCTCTACCAAAATTTACTGATTTTTGACGACATCTATTTCTCATTGTAAAAATAAAGTCTGCTTAGATTTTTTTATCCCTGTCCTGCAGACATTTTGCTCTTTAAATATTGTTCCCTAACAAAAATAATATTTTCTATTCCTCTCTACTGATCGTCTTATCAATGCCTAACGCACTGAACCACTTATTTTTTTTTGCTTTACCGTAACTGAGTCATTTTTAGTTTATTAACCGCTTTATTTTTAATTTGTTACTTGCGTATTTAACTTTGTCACATGTTAAAATAAAATGTTTTTCGTAGTAGCCTACTTATATAAGTCTAATTCCGCATCTTAAACGCATCCTCAATGTCTTAAGGACATCAGGATGTCTTATTATATGCATAAAAAATGCACTTGATTTACACGGGAAAAGATATTCAAAATGCCTTGGCCCAACATCCATGATGTCTCACCAAGATGCTACGAGTGCATAAAACTGGAATCCAGCCGCTTTCGTAAGACGTCGCAGCGCGTCTTTTACATGGAAATCTCATCTTACTGATAAAAAATGAAGTCATCTTTGACTCGCGTGAAGTGCATTTTTTTTTTCGAAAATGCACCTCTTTTTTCACAGTGTAAGTGTCTCTTATCGAAAGCTTGAATAAACCTTACACTGATTTTTGTTAAAAATCTAGATGATCTTTGTAGCAGTTTTATACTCAATAATATTTAAATCAGTTTACTGGTAGTTCAATATATTTACTGATCATTCATTCAATTAACTGATTTTAGAATATTTTATCTTACTAATCATAATATATATTTTACTGATCACTTAAATCCATGCCTTTTAAAATTCAAAAATTCTTCTGTGCTAAAATTCAGAAATTCTTATATGCTGAACTTCAGAAGTTCTATATGTGTATCCCCTCTGTAGACTATCACTTACTTTCAACTTTAGTACTTTTACAAAAAACGGACATCTCTGTAATTGATTCTAATTAATGAATTTGATTATAATAGCGCATAAATAAATTCAAGGGATATCGTGATTGTACCAGAATGATAGAATATAGTTAAAACGAAAATAGCGAGCACTGATAACTGGGAAGAGACAGTGTTTATATTATGTTGTCCGTTGATTGAAAATGATTGTGTATGCCAACAAAAGGAGAAACTGTTTTGGAGTTTTGTTTCGTCCGCTGTCCTGAGAACGTTATTTTGGAGAATAGCTGACAGAGGCTTGTGTTTTAGTTTTGAGAGAAGAGTCTTAACTTTCCCCTTTTTCTAGAATCTCGGTACTTTTTACAATAAATGATGCTGATTCAATAATTCTTGTTCGTGTAGGTAGAAGATCGTTTAGGTCAATACGCTTTGAGTCTTATATCGACATATTTTTTAGACAATGAAGCGAAAGTTGTTTATTTAATATGGAGGCCGATTTAGAAGAAGCTCTCAAATTAGCTAAAGACAAAAGACGTAAAATGCTAGATCATGACTTACAAAGTCGTCGAATGCAACGTAGTAGTGATGATATAATCGTAAACAGTGGTACCGCTCAGTCATCGTTATCTTTTCTACCATATGTCACAAAGAATGTTCGTTCCATACGGAGTTTCTTTGTTAGAATCCTCATTACTTTTAGTACCGATATATGAACAAAATTCTGATACTGATTCTGAATATGAATTATTAAATGTTGAAAATGACTCGTCAATGAGAAATGAAATCAACAGTGGTACTGAAGAAAATCTAGAAATAGATGACGAAAATATTATCGATAATAATATTGCTATAACGGTCCCATTTTCAATAAATGTATCAGGTGATAATGATAATAGGCCATATATTCCCCAACAACATTTACATAATTATACAAATATTTTAACATTTGATTATTGTGAAGATTTACTAACCGTTTTACGTAATGCGCATGTATCTAAATCACAATCAGATCACATTATAAAATTAATTAAATCTGCATTACCCATATCAAATAATCTTCTAAATACCTTAAAAGGTATTTTGTCTGAAACTAATATTAATGATATTTTTACCAAACGAAGTGTATGTACAGTATGTCAAATGGATTTACTTTATACAGAAACAACATGTCCATAATGTACATTGTCTGATGTTAAGTTTATTGCACATGTTTATGATACACAGTTAAATGTAAAATTGTTAGCAATGCTTACACGTTTAGCATCTGATATTACAACATATGAATAACAAATAATAAACAATCAGAATAATGATGACAGAAATGATATACCATTTAATCGACTATATCAGTCATTACTACAAGCGAATAAACAACGCAACTTGTTTATTTAACTGCTCAGTTTCTAGAGAATTTCAAGGCCTATCCAACAGTATATTTTTAAAAAATACAACATTTTTTATTAGGACAGGAAAACGACTGAAGTAGTTTGCAGCACGTGTTTTTTGTACTCTAACGCTCCTTTTGTATGTATTTGGTAACTGGCCCGACCAGTGTAGACATTCTGACTAGCTGAGTTTGTAGAGAATTTCAAGAGCTACCGAATGGCATATTGTAGGGAAGAGTATAAGTTTTCGTTCCCCGAGAAATCTTGGCTAAAAGAGTGCCTCAGCCGTGTTTTCAGTAGTCGAACGCTTCTTTTCCATGTCTGCGCAGACTGGCCCAGGCGATCAAGACATTCTGACTATCTCAGTTTTTACAGAATTTCAAGGGCTATCGAACAGTATATTAAATACACCACTACTAATATATTAAATACTTAAAAGAGTACTCTAGTAGTGTTTTCGACAGTAGAACGCTTCTTTTGGATGCCGGTGCAAACTAGCCCATCCAGTCAAGACATTCTCATTTGCTCAGTTTGTAGAGAATTACAAGGGCTGTCGAACAGTATATTATACAGAAGAGTATAATTTTGTTTTCTCACAAAATATTGACTAAAAGAGGTAGAACATGAAGTAAAAGAGTGCACTAGTGGCGTTTTCGGTATCTGAGCGGTTCTTTTGGATGTCTGTGTAGGCTGACCCAACCACTCAAGACATTCTGACTAGCTCAGTTTGTGGAGAATTTCAAGGGCTATCGAACAGTGTATCATAGAAAAATATGTAATTTTTTTGTGGGGAAAAAACATGACTGAAAGAGAGCTCTACTGGCACTTTCGGCACTCGAACGTTTCTTTTGCATGTCTGTGATGACTGGCTCAAGCAGTCAAGATATTCTGACTAGCTCAGTTTGTGGAGAATTTCAAGGGCTATCGATTCGTGTGTTTTGTTAGTTTCCTTGTGTGTGAGAAGTATGAGAGAGTTATCGTTTAGTGAGCATGTAGGACCTATTTTGAGGTCGCCGATGGGAACGGTATTGTGGAGAAATTAAGGGATTTTAGTGAACAAATGTATCTATTTTCATCTGTTATTGAATTGTGCGGCGTTTTCTGTTGATGGGAAGTCATTTTTACTCTGAAAAGAGAGTGGGCCGATTTCTGACCTTATACGTTCCCGTCCTTTTTATATCATCTAGCGATTCTAATCGAAAACCAAGTGGATATTCTGAAAGCTGGTTTCAAGCTACACACTTTTGCTTTAGAACACACCTCAAAAAATGCTTTCATTGAGCAGAAAGATGTTAAACTTAGGCATCACTCAAAAAAAGTCCATGTTCGGTTGTTCCGTAACGGCCGTTATTTTTTTAATAACTCCCTATAGGATGATCGAAAATCAACGAAATTTCGGACGCGATAAAACTCGGTACTGGCTACCTCTGGTAAAAGTGTCATTGCATTTGGATCACTCTCAGAAAAGTTATGGCACGTGAAAGTTGAAAAAAAAGTAATTCCGTAACATTCGGACAAGCCGTGGTATAACAATAATATTTTCATCTGATTTTAACTTCTTTAGAGCTGTTGTTGATTCTTAGAGAGATTATCGTAATATTTAGTTTTATCAGTTTGGAGATAGTGTTTTGTATGTATTTTATTAATTTTATGTTATTTTATTTTCTACTGAAGAAGATTGCACGTACAATCGAAACGTCTAAATATTTATGAATTAAAATAAAAGATTTTACGAAGACAAAGTAAAGCTTAGTTAAAATATTTTAAACGAAATCAAAAATGTTGGCTATTCATTTTTGGTACTATTATCCGTCGTCCTTCTGAGTTTGTCCGAACAAAGTTGAAATTTAAAGTGTGACCGGAGTGTATTCGGGCATAATCTAAATAAAAACATAATGCCATGATAATTCATGCAAGAAGTAATATTTCATATATAAAACTTCTCCCAATTACTTTTCTGTAGGGCTTAGGAACTTATTACTCCGTGTTGGTAAGTCGCTTTAGATTCCCATTTCTACCCTTTTCCAAGCCCGTGAAATACTATATATACTGAAGAA